AAAAAGTGATATTTTCAACTTCTTGTTAAAAACCGCATGTCCAATTGCTTTGATATTACATATATAGGTACTACATGTGAACCTCTCTCAGATTTGTACATTTTGTAATGATATCTTTAATTCTCTAATTTTGGTGAATATTTTTGTCATTTTTGGTAAAAAGTGATATTTTCGACTTCTTGTTGAAAACCGCAAGTCCAATTGCTTTGGTATTACATATATATGTACTACATGTGGACCTCTCTCAGATTTGTTCATTTCATAATGATATCTTCAATTCTCTAATTTTGGTAAATATTTTTGTCATTTTTGATAAAAAGTGATATTTTCAACTTGTTAAAAACCGCAAGTCCAATTGTTTTGATATTACATATATAGGTACTACATGTGGACCTCTCTCAGATTTGTTCATTTTGTAATGATATCTTTAATTCTCTAATTTTGGTGAATATTTTTGTAATTTTTGGTAAAAAGTGATATTTTCGACTTCTTGTTGAAAACCGCAAGTCCAATTGCTTTGACATTACATATATAGGTACTACATGTGGACCTCTCTCAGATTTGTTCATTTTCTAATGATATCTTCTGTTCTTTAATTGCCATGTGCATTGCTAACAGAGGAGCTATCTCAGCCGACAGGCTGCTTGTTTTTTTTTAACTCTGGGAGCTTTTTAACTTGGTTCTGTGTTTACATGAACTAACACCACTGGAAAGTGAGAGGGTCTGTTATTTTATGCTTTAAACAACTTTGTCAGACTCAGAACTGTAAAAACATTGTCTTGATATGTCTAGCATGTCTCACAACAGGCGTCTGTTACCAGTGACCTCACCTAATTAGCACACTGAACAAATGTGATATGAAAGCAGTGATTGGAAGAGCGCCCCCACACGAATATCTTTTGAATTTAGGCTCCTTTTGTTTTTTGTAATACTGTCTAAATTGAACTTGTAGAAATGTTAGTGACTGACCATTTAACTTATTTATTTTATAACTAAACTCATAGTTGAATGAATGAATGTGTCAGTCCAGATAACACTAGTCTTATACAAATTTGGAAGCTATAGAAAAGTAAGGAATATAACTGTTAAAACAAATTGTGTGTTTTGGGGAGATGGCTGGTTGGTTAATATAAATATATATTCAAAGTAAAAATAAAGAATTTACAGTACTATTTTCACCTGATGCAGCATGTTCAAATATAAATGAAAACTGATCTAAATAAATAAAGTGTTCTCATGGATTAAACACTTATCCATTACAATACCATATTTGCCCTATTAAAAATCCATGCGTTTAAGTAAATCACAGATACATGTAATAATAATAACAACTTACATTGTTTCTATCAGTTTACTGTAAAATACTAAGATACTTTATTTTAGCTGGAATTAATTTTTGCTGAAAAGAATTTTTACGAGTTGAATGTAAAATATAGGAAAAAAGGTATATTCGCTGGATTTTATATTCACTGAAAACAGCGAAAATTATTTCCAAGCGAAATTAGTGTATTTTACAGTTTAGCAACAAAGTTGAAATACAAACAACAAATAATGATTTAAAAAAAAATATGTACCGGGTATCTATGGTCAGAGAAAGGCATATTTCAAAGAATTAGCATTCACACCAACTTTGGTGTGAATTCCCTTACATTTCCCTTAAAACATCAGTCAATGCTTCACTGTTTGATTTCACTTGGTACTCAACAATATCAATAAAATATCCTGTGGAAGTTAATCTAAAATGTACACATGAAACCAATTGAAAAAACAAATAATTGAGTTACATGATGACGAAAAATCAGGCTTTTGAAAAGTTTTGTTTTTTACTCTGATCCGCTAAGACTCTTACATAGCTGTACAAGTTGTGTTTGCTAAATTGGAACCTCAATGCAGACTATAGCAATTACTATTCATAGCTATTCAATAGTTACACTCAATACTCAATACATAGCTACTTGTGAATCTATCAACTCACTAGGTTCCTTTGTTCTGCTGAAGAACAAAATAGACAAAAGGCAGTTTGTAACAATGGAATCAGCACCCTATTGTTGTTGTTTCTTGTTTTGTTTCTTTGTTGACAAGTTGGTACTTCCCAGTGACAAATCAGTCAATTAGATCTGACTAATATGATCACGTTGTTTCATCGACATCCAATATCTGTGTCTTCTCATCACTAGTAAATGGTTTGTCCCAAATAGTGGCAGAAGTCTCCTTTACT